ATTCCAACGAATGAATCACATTCTCTATGCTACTCTAATCATTCTCCTTATGAAGTGAATACTAAAAAGGCTATCTCTAGGATCTAATGATTTTCATTTTCTACTTCTGATTTTCATTTTCTACTTCTAATGATTTTCATTTTCTACCTGAAGATGGCAAGCTTCATTTAAAATTTTTTTTTTTACCTCTGTGGTTCCATGTTCTTCAGTAGCATAGGGGAAAAGACTTTCATAGAGTTTTGTGAATGCATCCAATCCAGTTTCTATGATATCTGCTTCGATGTTGGGGTCCAAAGGTTCAGTCTCTGTGAAATCCAGTTCCCACACTGTGTCCACCCATTCTAGTGGGGAAATGAAATTAAATCAGTAAATGTTCTCAACAAATAATAAACCAGTGGTCTCCAGACTGTAGGTGCATTCAGGAAAACTTAATACCACATTTAGCTATACAGTACAGATGTGACATAATTAAAGGAAAGCAGAAAAGGTAAAGAACATCTTTTTTTAAAACAATACATGCCAACTGTTATTATGTTGGTCATTCTAAAAATATAAAAACACATTTTAGATATAACAGTTTTGGGGAATGACACTTCAAAACACTCAATGATTAGCTTTCTCATACATTCTTTAGAGAAGTAAAGCGGTTCATCAAAGATTGCCTCATATGTCCCTTTGTGAAAATTATTTAATAAATGTAAATAAAGCACCTAGCACTTTACTGAGTCACTGAATGTGTTAAAAAAAAAAAAAAAAAGGACACAATTTCCCCAAGAAGTTTGAAGTAGACAAGACAGATTCACGGTAAAAGAAATACATGAAAAAAGAAATAATCTAAAGAATGCATGTTAAGAGAATGTGACTTTAATGCAGCATCTTCACTGGATTCTTTGCCAATCTCTCAACTCCCAAAAACCCGCTAATATGTTCCAAACAAACTAATTTTTTTCATTGTTTTTGTTGGTATTCCTTAAAACCTAACATTAGGAGTGGATGCAAAATGTGGCCATCTCAGACATACTAATAGGGTGCTACTTCAAATTAACTGTCTTGAACTATTTGTTCACTACTGATTTGTAAAAGTTGGGCAGGATATGAATAACGAAAACCCAGAGATAGCAGGCCTCAATCTTTCATAGTTCTAAGCATTTTACTTGAAAAACTTTGCAGTGGGGCCTCCCCTGGTGGTGCAGGCCATTGAATGTAGTGCTGTGAAGCTGTCCGCAGCCTCCGCAGCTCTGGTTCGATCCTGGCCAGCTGGTGAGGGTCCCACATGGCACAGCAGACCTCTCTTGTCACGTCCGCTGCTCCCCTCAGCAGTGTATTTCCTCAGTCTGTCTGTTCTGTTCCCCGCTCTGTCTCTGGTGAATCCTCTCACCCTCCCACAAATCTGGCCTGTACCCCAGTTCTTGTATAAATAAATTAATTTAAAAAAAAGAAAAGCTTTGCAGTGACTAGATCTAGTCCCCCAAGACAATTTGTCCATCATCATTTGTCACTTAACTTGACCCTGAAAGAGGGCATTTTACTCTGCACCTTAAGTAGCTTTCCATAGTATTTGTTCCATAGGTTTAAAATATGCTGCCTTAAATAAAATATGAAAAATACAATTGTGCCTATTTTCAATATCCATTACAGATTGTAGCCAAGGCATCTCTCTCCATACTTTGGCTTTTCTTACAATAGTTACCCTACTGTTAGTAGGGTTGGTGGAAGGATGAGTCTTCTTCTAAACATGGGTCTTTAGCACAGAAAGAAAGACAAGTGGATCCATACAGAGAGAATGTCACAACAAAGCACAAAGGGGAAGAAACTACAACCTGTTCAGAAAAGAACAAAGTAGGTATAGCACTGAGTTTGATTTTGATGGGCAAGTTACTTTTATTTATGCAGCAGTTACCATGTGCCAGGTACTAAGTTAATCTTAACAAAAGCCCCAAGAAGTAGATATAATTCCCATTTGACAAATAAGGAAACTAAGGCTTAGTAAAGTTAAGCAACTTGCCCACTGAGACAGTAGAGCCAATAGCCCATTTCTTGTATCAGACTCTAAAGCATATGCTGTTGGGAAAAACTGCAGTGAATGTTGAGATTCTCTGTTGGCAGAGATTGTGCCACATATTTAGGAAACAAAGGGGAAACAATAAAGGTTTAAACACTTGACAGGTCACTTGATTAGGAAACAAAGGAGAAACATTAAAGGTCTAAACATTTGACTCATAGTTACATTTGTTTTCAAAAGTGATCCTGGTAGAGGTGTGGGGGGGTGGCCTGGAAGCATTAGCATCACTAAGCAGCCAGCGTGAAACTTTGTGTAATATTACTTTGTATTAAACATAATGAAAATTATAAATGTGAAATGTTTCACATCTCCTAAGTGAGAAAAAAAAATTAATTAAAAAAAAAAGAAAAAAAGCATCCAGGATACTCCTGCAATTGTGTAGGTTGGCTATAATGAGGGGCTGCACCTAGACAGTAGCATCAGAAAAACGGAGCAGGGTGTGTATGAGGAGAGACAAGGGGAAGTTGTGAGCATGAAAGAAAGAGGAAAGTCTCACTCACAACTCAGGTTCGTGGATTGGCTGGTGACTCTGTGAACTCTGGTGATGTTTGGGGTGCCTATGTGACACCCAGTTGAGCCAATCATTGTGAGGGTCAAAACTAAGTCTGGCTGAAAATAGATGTGCTACTTAAAGCCACAAGAATAGAAATATTTAAGAGGACACAGAGATGGCCGACACATGAAAAGATGCTCATCATCACTTATCATTAGGGAAATGCAAATCAAAACCACAAGATATCTCACAGCCATATAGTTAGAACGGCTATGAAAAACTAACAGGTATTGTGAGGCTGTGGAGAAAAGGGAACCCTGTGCACTGTTGGTGAGAATGTAAATTGGTACAGGCACCATGGAAAACAATATGGACAGTTTTCAAAAAAATTAAGAATTGAAATACCATCTAGGTCAGCAATTTCCACTTTGGATATTTATCCAAAGAATATGTAAACAATAATTCAAAAACATATGTACCCCTATGTTCACTGTAGCATTAGTCATAATAGCCAAGATATGGTAACAACCTGGAATATATCCACAATGGATATATATATGCAACAACAGAGACAGACCCTGAGGGGATAAAGCTAAGTGACAGCCATAAAGATAAAGACAAATATCAGATGATTTTACGCCTATGTAGAAGATAAAGAACAAAACAAAAACTTTCAATTCTGACTGAATGGTGATTACCAGAGAAGGTACATGAGAGGTAAGACCAATAAAGGGGGTCAACTGAACAGCAGAGGATGGAAACTAGACTTTTGGTGATCATAATGTATACACCGAAGTCAAAATATAAAGCTGTACACCTGCAAGTTAAAAAATAAACAAACCAAAACCCTTAGCTAAGGAGAACAAAACGGTGGTGGCCAGAGGGGAAGGGGGCGAAGGGGGTGAATATACATGATGCTGCAGCCTGTTTAAAAAAAAAAGGGCCCCCCAACTGGAGGTGCTAATGCAAGCCCACCAAGACAATACCTAATCTGATTGCAACTTCCCCCAGTGAGTATGGAATTTTCTGGTCAGTACCAATGAATTAACTTTCCCCATTCTGCCGATAATCTGCCGGAAGACCTTTATCTATTCCCCATTCCATTTCCACAGATATGTTACCTCGGCCTGAAAATTCACCTGCCCTCTTTCTGCCTATAGAAATTTTTCATTTGGTACACCTTTCCAGACTTCTCGTTTACCTGCTGCATGGGATGCTATCTGACTCGTGAGTGGCTCAACAAGGCCCATCAGACCTTTAAAATGCACGCGTTTACTATTTAACACACCTGAAACCTACATCATGCTATAAACTAACGCTATTCCGAGGGAATTAAAAAGAAAAACCCGCAAAAACAGCTCAGGTTGTCCATGAGGATTTGCAGAAGGGCAAGGCCGAGAAAACAGAGGAACTAAAGCCTTCTGCAACATAAGTTCTTTTCAAAACGCCCCTTTACGGCGTGGAGCCCCCCTCGGAACCTGTCTCCCCGTATCCTGAAGCGCAGGTACCCGAAGACCCCAGATCTAATTGAGAGCCGAGCGCCCTCCCCCTCCCCCCTCCCTCCCAGGCCGGAGCTGGGAGCACAGCAGGCGCAAAGCACCACAGCCCGGCCTCCCCGAGACTCGAGACCTCGTCTCCTCACCTGGGCTGAGATCCAGCGGGCACCAGGGCTGCAGGCCACTCTCCAGGCCCTGCAGCGCCATTACCGCCCAGGAACCGGCTCGCCTCGGCTGTGGTCAACTTTGAAAGCTCGCTCCCGCGCGCGCCCCGAGACGTTCCTGCGGACCAATCACAGCGCGTGGAACGCCCCGGCGCCCAATCATCCCAGCAGCCAATCGGCAGGGGCGCCTGCCGCATGCGCAGAGGGTGGGGCGGGCGGAGGACTGTGGACTAATCCAGGGTTCTAGGGTCGAGCTATTTGGTCTTTTCTTCAAAGTCGGGGTCAAGAACTAAGACAAAATCTAATAGCATCTTTCCCACGTCATTTTCTCTCAAACAGGGGACAGTTTAAAGGGGACTCAGAACAAGAGACTTCCTGTAATTATCACCTTTGCCCCCTGTTAAGCGACATTTCGCGTGCGTGTCAAGGGCCACTTTACCCCGTCGGACAGCAGTCAAATGTTGCACGAATCTGAATGTGCACGGTAGCCTCACGTTCATAGAACTGAAGCAATAAAGAAAAGCAAAATGAAAAAAAAATGCTTCGGGGGGGACATCTGCAGTTCTTTTAATTTTGCGGGGTGTCTGGGCCCGAAGGCCACTGGGAAGAGGCCGCAGCCGCCATGTCAACTAAGGGCAAGGCTGGCGGCCCTTCTTCCACTGCGCGTGCGCACTGAGCACACCTCCTGGCGGCCTGGAGGGAAGCCCTTCAGAGGCAGAGGCGTGCGCATGCGCCCGGCGGCCCCAGCGCGTGCGGGCTGGAGGCCGCCCCCAACTCCTCCGCTCCCCCTCTCCGCCCCCCACCCGCAGCCGCCTAGGCACCTCGGTGCGTTGCACCGCAGGAGGCTTGGGCCGGCTCGTTTGCTGCTTAGCGCCGCACCCCACCCGGTGGGCGGCAGCGGCCACGCACGGTCAGGTTCTGCACTGCGGACCCCAGAATTGCATTGCGGGCCCTCGCCCCTCACTGCCGCCAGCTGCTGGGGCGCGCTCGGGACAGGCGAGCCGCGGGGCTTCGGTGCTCGGGGCGCCACAACCGGCCCTGCCCCCTCCCCAAGAAGCGCGCGTCGCCCCCGCCGGGCTGCGGAGCTGGGGTCCGCATCCCCCCCTCCGGCCTTCCCTTAGGGCAGCCCCCGCCCGGAGAGAGGAGCGGTCCTACCGAGACCGGCCCGGCCCGGCGGTGAGATGAGCTTCTTCGGCTTCGGGCAGAGCGTGGAGGTGGAAATCCTGCTCAACGATGCGGAGAGTAGGAAGCGGGCCGAGCACAAGACGGAGGATGGGAAGAAGGAGAAATATTTTCTCTTCTACGATGGAGAAACCGTGTCGGGGAAGGTGAGCCTCGCGCTCAAAAACCCCAATAAGAGGCTAGAACACCAAGGCATCAAGATCGAGTTCATCGGGCAGATCGGTGAGTCGGGGCCTCCCTCCCCCAGCCGCGTCCGCCGGACCCGGGCGCCCAATTGGATCTGGAGGGAGCGGGGTGGCTCCCGGGCCAGCTCCTGTAGGCCTGTCTGAACCCCTTCCCCCCGCAATCTGAGGCCCGCCCGCCGGTGCCTTTCCCTGCGCGCCCGTCTTCCCAGCCAAAAGTGACAGCGCGCCGCGAGGGCGGCGAGCGAGGCGGCTGGGAGCGCCCCTGCCGCGCCTTGCGGTGTGCGCCCCGCGCCCCAGCCCCGGGGTACCCCAGTAGTCCCTTCGCCGAGCCGCTCAGCTTTACTAGTGCTTCGAGGATTTCGGAGTGAGATGCTCCTGCCATAGCCTGCAGGTGGGTTTGTTAGGGGGAAACCGCTCTTCCAGTACTGCCTTTGCCATTGCCCGGACACCCACAGCTGGCAGACCCAAGTTATGCGAGTCCTCTGTGCCTCCCTCAGTTGCATCCCCACCCACTCGCTTTTTCTTGTAGGTGTGATATGGGAGAGACGCTCACTAGTTTCCCATATCTCACCCTACCTTTGAACTGCCTGTCCTTACACATTTTGAGAAAAAAGCCCTGCAGCCTTCAACTTCTGTCTGTCCACCTCGCTTATATCCCTAAGATTTCTATATAAAAATGCTAGTTTTCTGTTGATTGTTTTTCTCCTTAAAGACAAAGAAATGATGCTTCTAAAACCAAAATTAAATGACCAGACTTTCTTGAAGCTTCAACAGTCTTTACATGTGGTTATTGGTAATTAGAACTAGACAGTGAAAGGCAGTAACAATGCAGAAGGCTGTGGGAGTTGCCAGTCAAGACGGGGTTGTTCCATTTCTAAGACTATTTGGAGGTTTTGTTCAAACTCTCAGGTACTTCTGAAATGAGCTTTCTTTGCCATTAGGTCGGGAGGAGATTCACAGGAAACATACATATGAGCTGAAAAAACCTCCAGCAGAGAGCCCCTACCCTGTACCACCCACTGCACAACATAACCCTATTTTTTTGGGAACTTCCTGGGAAAGCTGGGTCAACACTCTTTTCTCACACCCTGAGAGTCAGTGGAGCAACTTGTTTGCCCCCCCTTTACAGAGCCAGGAAATAATTTTAGCTCAGGTAGGAACCCTAGAAGGAGTCCGTTTCGCCTGTCTCTGCAGTCCACTGTTTTCTGAAGCCTTTGCCTCTGTACTTAAAAAGTTGCAGACTGAATGACCCTGTAGGAACCTTCCTATTGTTTTATCCAAAAAATGTACAGTTTTTTTACATATGAGGGGGGACTGAAGAGTGAGTTTCATGCCTTCTGCTTTGCTGCTTTTAGCTTAGATAGGGTTTCTCAACAGCAATGGTGCTGACATTTTGGGTCTGATCATTCTTTTTTGCTGTAGGGTGTTTATCGGTGTCTGGGGCTTCTGCCCTTCAGAACACCAGAAGCGTCCTCTCCTCTTCGCTCTAGCTATAACCACAAAAATGTCTTGAGATTGCCATATGTTCTCTGGAGAGTAAATCACCCCTAACCACTGGGTAGGTAGTGTGAATCCAAAGCATTTTATGCTAAGTGTCCTCTTTGAGATAGTTGAGAAACCCTGACCTACTTAGAATTGGTAGTAGTTTAAAGTTATTGCACAGACTCTCTGCCTTCATAATAGAGGTATAGACAGGTATATTTATCTGTGTCTCTACTGTGGTGATATGTGATGGTGTGTGAAAGAGAACAAAATGCCCCCTGCCCCAGCAATAGGAAATGAAGTGTTTGGGGAAGCTGTGCACCTCTTTGCACCTCAGCTGTCTTGCCTATGAGGCCAGGGTAACAAAACCACCCTATGAGAATGTCAGGGGATCACACTTCGTTCAGAATATGGTGTATTTGTATCTCACACCTGAGACAATCTCTGTGGACAAACCCTGGGACACCAGAGTAAAGCGAGTGAGTGACTTTACTCAAGTTGTGGTCATGTGGTTTTCCCCTTCATTGCACTTTTTGACTATGCATGAATTAGGTGACACTTTGGTTAGTTTCTGAGGTCTGGCTGTGTGGGTCTCACTCTAAGTGGGTAAGAAAGTTGCTATTGTGCTCTGTCTGCTTTCTTTATTGGTTTCTGTTATAACTCAAAATTATTCTCCATATAATCTCTTGAATTTGGTTCTTTTTTTTCCTGAGAAATTCCATAAGTTGAAGAAAAGTGATCTGTGTTATTAATCTTTCTTAACCTTATGGTTAATTTCCTTTTCCTGTTGGTAAAAGTATATCTGTTCCACCTATGTAGTCTGTGGAGGGACAGTCTGGTATAAGATTTAGGGGCAAACAGACTGGGTTACTTCTTTAGATACAGTGCAGTTTATAATGTACAGACTTTGCTAAGGTCTTGTGAGGACCAGAGATGATATATATGAAGTGCAGGGCTTAGCACACATTGTAGGGGCTTAGGAAAATCTAGTTAAGATGATCAATATTTTCCCTTTGCATGTTCAACTTGATTCCTCAAGAAATTTCTGGGGTCTAGACCTTTAATACATGCCTGGTTTCCAGCTGCCTGCTAGACATCTCCACCTGTATGCTCCCGGTTCTCTCAAAGATACATTCAAAACAGAAATCCTTTCTCTTTCTGCTCCAGCCCCAGCCCCAGCTCTTCTGCTTCTCTGATTTTCTCCATTTAGGCCTATGTCAGCCTCACAGATCTGTGGTTCATCTTAGATTCTTTCTTCCTTCTCCCATACCATCTACCTGGCTTCTAAATCTTGGTCCAAAAATATATATATATATCTTAAATTTGTGCTTCTTCTCCATTTTGAATGCAATTTACAGTCTTTATTAGTTCTATTTGTGGTAGTCTCCAATTGGTCTTCCTGCCTTTGTTTTCTTCTTTTAGATCAATTTTTGTAAGGTTGAACTTCCTAAAAGTCAGTTCTAACATTGTTAGTTTCTTATTTAAAACTTTTTCATTGACATCCTACTGGTTAGAGGGAAAAAGTACATCTGAATCTTTCCTGAGCTGGTCCCTGCCTTTCTCTCCAGCCTCACCTCTCCTTTACCTGCCCCCTCACCACTTGTAGTTTCCTCAAACTGTCATGTTCCTTCTAGAATCTTGGCATCTTCCTTTTGTATGTGAACAATTTTCTGCAAGGTATGACTTTCCACCCAAGCTCCTACTCACTCTTCAAGCACAATAAACTCGACATCCATCAGAAAGCCTTCCCTGACCTCCCTGACTGATGTAGGACTACTTCCACAGGCCTCGTTGCCAGGGTATGATAAGCTTATGACTTTTCAAGCAGGGTATGATAAGCTTATGACTTTATTTGCTTTACTTGTTTGTCTCCCTTCAAACCCTATGAGTCAGGTGGCTAGCCTCTACTCTCAGTGACTAGCACATACTAGGTGCTCAGTAAATATTTGCTAACTGGATACATTGATTAGACCTAAGAAGTTACAAGGGCTAGTCTCCGGATTATTTTTTCCATCTCCCTCTCAATACATCTCCCTCTCAATACTCCCTTGAAAGCAAGGGAGACTACAGGTTTGCTTTGCTGGTTACCTCCAAGAAGCTCAGCTTCTTGTAGCAGAGGCATGGATAAGCTAGGTGCAGGCCTAGCTCATGCTTGTAGCAAAGGCATAGATGAGCTAGGTGCAGGCCGCACTCAAAGCTCCTGAGAACGAACTTGACTCAGGATTGACATTGCCACCTTGCACAGCATCTCACTGAGAAAACTGGGCCAAGGATAAACTGGATGTGGGTTTAATGTGGGCCCATGCATCTTTCATCACATAGTCTTATGCCAAATTGATGCTGATTTCTTCATATATAAGAAATAACAAAGTTGACACATGACATCCTTTTAGGCCTGCACACCTGCTCAGGTGTTTGAATGTTACCCCCTGAGTGTATAATCAGATCTTACTTACCTGCTCTATACAAGTTGCCCTTGTCTAAAGTAAGTTTTTGAGCTGCTCTGGGAATGTTCTGCACCTAGTGTATATTTTTTGATGACTTAGTCTATATTCTAATAGGGCCAACAAGTGTGTGGGAGGGCATCTCCTTGTCACTGTAGCAGTTCATGGCCACATCTTTTAGAAGAATGCAATGTGATATAAAAGGGACACTGAAGGAAATTCTGGAGAGACCATTTCTCAGTTGGAATCATTTGGGGAATACTAATGGATGATGGAAGGCAGAGCCAGGCCACCTTGGAGACCAATGGGGTAGAATAAACCAAAAGTAACTGGAAGGCCAAACTTGCAGAGGCAGACAGACTCAAACACCCTCGTACTCCAAGGCCAAGTAGATATTATCTTTGAATTCTTAAAAGTAATGCTACTGAAGTATCTGAATTTATCAGCATTGATCAAGCCTGTCCTTCTAAAAACTCTTGAGAATTTCTGTATTTTAATTTATTAACCCATGGAATACTAAGTAAAAAGCAAATGAAGATTAAATGGATTGATCCTGACCTATTAATAAGTAGTTGTAGGATTCAGGGCAGAGCTGCGTCTGGGTGTGGGCAGCCTAGAGGCATCACAGCACCAGCAGATTTATAGGGCTGGGAGGTCTGAGCGGATGGGGCGAGCTTAAATTTCAGGAGCATAAATCCCAGCACACAGTGGCTGGGAAAACCAGGATGAAAAAGAGGCTCTTTGGAGGTCCTTTTGCCCTGACTGACTTTTGTGCTTTTAAGACTGAAGCCTGGACTAAACATGGTCCTAGCCTAGCAGCAAGTCTCAGGGTGTCTTTCACAAGATGGCCCTGTGATACAACGCTGGTTCAGTTTCCTTCCAAAATGGCAAATTCACTCCTTGGCCGTTGGTGGCAAGTTTCACCATGAAAACTTCCTGATAGAATGACAAGATGTCATTTCCTCCTATTGGACGAAAAGGAGGAGGCAAAAGACAGCGGAATTACCTTTACCAAAGACTCAGTCAGTTCATATCTAATCTGAAATGACTGGCCCCTGAGGACTCTGGAAGTTGGGGAGAAGTAGAATTGATTTATGTCTGCATGTTGGGACAGAGTAAAGGCAGTTTATAAATCTTTAGGGCCCAGACCTCTTGCCAGAACAGCTTGGGTCTTCTACTTTAATTTATGCAAAAGGAAACCAAGCTTCAGGCAAATGGTCAAGGATGACTTCTTTCTGCCCCTTTGCCACACAGTGTTTGCAGGAGCTCTGCAAGTGCCTTATGAGCTCTCGACTACAAAGTCTGGTGCAGCTGCTGCTAGACTACACCCTGGCTGCTTCTCTGTGATGTTTGATGTAGGAACTGGTGTTACCCTGCAGCCTGGAGGAGCACCACGGAGAATGTGATACTGTGCAGGGAAGGCCCTCTCCTGCCAGATGTTCTGGCTGCAGCCAGGTTTCCCCACTCGGTCAGGCACACTATTGCCGGGATGCTGGGATGCTGGCAGTCTGAGTGAACTCTGAAATGTGCTCCCCTATCCTTCTGTTTTGTTGTTCATGTTGCCTTTGAGCTGTGTGATCACATTTGTGTATTTTTCCATCTTTCTGTTCCAATCTTCTTGACTGGGATTGCCTGCTGAAAGTTTCTGGAAACTGGGGCCTTGCTCTGCCTGCTTCTGTCGCGTGAAATTATGGCCAGAATCCAGTGCTTGGGTAGGTTCCCAGTTAAGGGATCAATTCCCAGGTAGGATCCAGAGCCATTAATAAGATTTCTGGGGGTAGCTAGCAACCAGCAGGAGTAGGGAAGGAGCCCTTGTCTGGGGCTGGCCTGGGGCTCTGTCCTCCCTGCTCCGTGCACTTCCTTTCCTTGGAGGGCACAATAACTGGATTTTGAGAGGAGCAATGGGTTGTGCACCTTTCCCCATCCTTCTACCCCCAATTTGAAACTGTCTTCTCTCATTTGGTGGTTTTGTAGATTACTTCTTACCCAGAGTGCTGCCTGCTTCTGAAACCATTTGTGTTGGGAAGAGAAAGTGGATTGTCTCTAATATAAGGTGGATCAAACTAACTGCAGAAGAAATGGGCAACAGACTTTTCCATAGAGTAGAATATGTTGTAAACTCACACAGAAATGGCAGCACTCCTCCGGGAGTACCCACACTACAGCCACCTCCTCTAGTTGGCTGGACTAAGGACAGAGCCCGCTTGCTTTAAAATGCGTCCCATCTGCACCAGAAAGGTTGTCTGTGGGAGAGTCCCATCCAGGGCAGCAGGTGATTGACTGTATACTCTGACCAAATGCACGTGTAGGAACCTTGGTCTCCATTCTGGCATGGTTCAACCCTAGGGCAAGACTGGATTCTTTCAGCTCTCAGGAGGCAAGAGATCTGGTTTGTGGGTCCAAGAAGGCTTTGGTTCTAATTGGGGTTCAGACCTTGTGCTGTCTCAGGTGGGCTCAGAGCATATCAGCTCAGTCCTGCTGCTCAGGATACTCCCAAGAGAGTGCTTGCTGTGCTCCGGAGAGATGGGAGTAGGCCGACCGGGTGGTTGTCCCAGACACTCCTCTCTGTGGACCTGTCTTGTCCCTGAGCAGCTGATGGCAGAAGTGGCAAGTGCACACTCTGCCCTATTCCCTCTGGTCTGCCTACTGCTGGTTGCAGCCTCTTATAGGACTGGAGCCCAGAAATGCCCAAAGAGTGATACCCAGACTGGAATGTGGTCAGTAGCAGGGGTCCTCACTGTCCAGCCATTTCTGGGGGTGTGGAAGCTGGGGACATAGGCCTTATCACTGAAGACCATACAGTGAACAAAAGTTAGCATCTAAATAGCAGAGTGCAAGATGGTGGCATGAACTTATACTAAAGAAATTTCAGAACTGTTTGCACAGAGGAGGATGGACTTCAAGCAAGGCTTCTCAAAGTGTGGTTGCTGGACCTGCAGAATAGCACCCCCTGTGAGCTTGTTAGCAGTGTAAATTCTCTGGCTCTACCTCATATCCCCTAGAAACACTAGGAGTAGGGCTGGAGTAAAGCTTTGTGCTTTAACAAAGCTTGCAAATGATTTGGATACACACCAATTTGAGACCCACTGATCTATATGGGGGAAATAGCATCAACACTGCAGATTGGCTGTAGGATTCCTTTTGAGAGCTAGTAGCAGTGGCCAGCTTATGTTGTGAGTGTCTGCTGTCTCTTTGGTACTATTCTAAATCCTTTACCTGCATTATCTCCTCTGATTCTCAAACCTCATGAAGTGATTATCACCCCCACTTTACCAGGTCATAGAACTAGGCACAGTCCAGCAGGAGGCCTGCTCTAGCCTCAAGCTTTGCCTCCAACCCTGTGACTCTAACTCCACCAGTCATTTAACGACCAGGCTTCAGTTTCTTATCTTTTCAGTGGTTGCTCAGGCCTGTCCTAGCTGTCTCCCAAGATTATTGTAAGACTGATATGATTAGATAACTATGAGAGTGCTTTCAAAAGTTAGAAATGTTAAAAAACTGTTAAAGAAATGTGGTTTTTTTTTTTTAAGATTTTGTTTATTTATTTTTGTGTAGAAGAACTGGAGTGTAGGCCAGAGGTGCAGGAGGTGAGAGGATTCACCAGAGACAGAGTGGGTAGCAGAGCAGTCAGATTTACTGAAATACACTGCTGAGGGGAGCAGTGGGGGAGATAGGAGAGGTCTGCTGCGCTTTATGTGGGTTAGTTCCCTGGCTAGGAATTGAGCTCAGGCTATCAAGGGGAACCCTCACAGTGATTGCTCTAAGACTTAACCACTAGGCCACCAGGGAGGCCCAAGAAAGGTGGTTTTGATAGCTGTTCCCCAGATGTGCCCCTAACAGAGGTTCTGCCCTGATGTCCTGGAGCAGGATCATACTGGGTTCTTATGCTTTTTAATGCTCTCTGTACAAAATGGAAGTTTGGAAAGGAGGGCGGGAGGGAGACCAGCTTGTGGCAGATGTGGTAAAGGAGTGGGGTCATGACAAGGGGAGTCAGAAACAGGGCTGGCAGAGGTCTGTTTCAGAGGGAGGTCTTTTGAAAGCAGGATTTCTGCAGCCTGGCGCGCCCTGGCTCAGGGTCTGATGGGAGACCAATGCTCTCTTTCCAGAGCTCTACTATGACCGTGGGAACCACCATGAGTTTGTGTCCCTGGTGAAGGACTTGGCCCGGCCTGGAGAAATTACCCAGTCGCAGGCCTTCGACTTTGAATTCACGCACGTGGAGAAGCCGTATGAATCCTACACGGGGCAGAATGTGAAGCTCCGGTAAGTATGGCCTGCCCCGTCCCCACCTTGCTCTGCCCAAGGCTCTTGACCTAGGTATGGAGAAGGGAGAGTGCTGAGAACCGTGGTGTGCTGGCGAAAGTTTAACAATGGGCTCAAAAGGAAAAACCCCTGGTTTGTAGCATTTGTTAATTTTTATAGTGTAGGTATTCCCACCATGGTCAGTTTCCAGCTCCCACCCTGGTGTCCCCTGATACAGGGTTGGGGAACGAGGCACATGGCCACTTTCATGTAGCATAACTGGCATGCAGAGACACCAGATATAAATTCACCCAAGAACAAAGAAAACTGTAGAATGTAGCATTTCCACCACTAGAAAGCCATGATTTTTCAGTACATATTATGTTACCTTTAAAAATATATTACATTTTTAATGCAATTCACTTAATTGTAAGTGTATATAATTTAATTTTAAATAATTGTTGTATTTAACACCCAGTTCATAAAATTCCCAACAATTTCATAGCTGGCTTTTGTACATTGATAGGAGCCAGCCCAGGCCCCACGTATTTGAATCAGGACATCATGGTCTAGGTTTACCCCACAACAGGAGGGCGATCCTGTGTCACTCAACTTTCTCATTTGAAAAGTGGGTAACAGATTTGGATTTTCATTCCCAATCTTTAGCATGATATACTGGGTTTTTATGCTTTTTAATGCTCTCTATACAAAATGGAAGTTTGGAAAGGGGGGCAGGAAGTTATATAAAACATAACCCAGTGTGACAAGGTCTTTAAAAACACATTTAAGCACATGGATTGTTCTTACTGCTCCATCTTGGAAATTTGGAGGGTAAGGACTGATTCCAAGACCTCTGAAATAAAATAAAAATCCACAGTAGCCATAGATTCTTGGATGTGCCGTGAAATTGTTAGGTTACTGGGACAAAGAAGACTTGTTAGGCTCTGAACACCTAGTTCCAGATCTTGACACTGTCACAGATAGTCAGCTAGATTCCTCCCCTGGAGCCTGGGTGTAGGATGGGGCAGATTGTAGCAAGAGCTTTCCTCTCTTTTTTTTCTCCCTCGTCCTGTCTTCCACTACAAGAGTAATTGTAGGCTCTTCTTTACAGAGGGGTCTAAATAGCAACCATATTCCACTAAAGACAGTGTCTTATCACTACACTCAGAGAAAACTCCTGGCAAGGGTGAGTCTTAGCTGGTCATCATCAAGCTTGGCTAGGGGAGTTATTGTTAATTAATTTTATTTTTTGCAATACATTTCTCCTAAATGTTTTTATAGCAGAAAGGTGTTGTAAACAGTATGGTAGTTCCTCAAAAGAATTAAAATAGAATCACCATGTGATCCAGCAATTCTGCTTCTGAGTACAGACCCAGAAGAAGTGAAAGCAAGGACACAAGCAGATTCATACCAGCATTAGTCACAGTAGCCAAAAGGTAGATGATATCTGAATGTCTATCAACAGATACATGGATTAACAAATTGTGTATACACATAATGGACTGTTATTCAGTCCTGGAAAGGAAGAAAGATCTGTCATATACTACATTATGGAGAATCATGAACAACATTATGCTAAGTGAAATGAGCCAGTCGTGAAAAGACAAATATTATGAGATTCCATTTATATGAGGCACTTGTCAAAATCAGAGACTGGAAGTAGAAAGGTGGTTACCAGAGATTATGGGAAAGAGAAATGGGGCCTATTGGGGACAAAGTTTAAGTTGGGAAAGTTGAAGAAGTTCTAGGGATGGATGATGGCAACTGCGCCATGACACTGACAGTGCTAATGCCTCTGAACTACACACCTAAGTGATTACAATGGTAAGTCATGTGTTACATACTGTAGGGGATGGAAAACACCTCTTCCTCTACCCAATTTAGGTTTATTAACTGGGCCATTCTCATTTGACTGATGAAAGGCAGATTGGCAAGAGAAAAAGTTTATTCGTATGTGCATTGTATAGACTGCTGGGTCTCCAAGATCATTAACACACACCGGTGCTTAGAACTTACATAGAGCTTGGTTGATTAGAACCTGGGATTTATACAGCATCTTAGTGGAAGAAGAGTCATCTTACAGAGAAGTGACAAGACAAAGGAAAGACACTGAGCTTATAGGAAATCAGATTGTGGGAAGGTATATAGGAAACATGGGTGATGAGAGCTGTTTTAGATAGTCTGTTAGGTGCTTCCTCCTGGAGTCTCTGGCTTGACAGGAGTCTTGAGCTTTCTCTGGTTATTAAGAAGAACATGTCCTTCCTGGTAAGAGAGGGGACTGCAGAGAGTTTTTCTTGTGAATGTCTACTCTGTTACTTTCAGCTCAGTATAATCCTTACACCAGAGTGGCGTATTTGGGGATAACTATATTTAACAATGAAAAAAAAAGGAAGGTGATGCTGTCCACATTAATTGCACTTCAGGATTCATGTTGAGGGATGAGTAAAAGAAGGGAAAATTAGATAAGGGCAACTAAGAGAAAATGTAAATTCCAGATTAAGGGCTTGTATCTTTTATTATGTGGGCAGAGGGAAGACATGGAAAGATCATTTTGGGCTCCATTTTGTTTTCAGGTAGGGGATTGTTCTTAAGTTCACCTGTAGTATTTAATGGGTGGGTAGAGTATGGAGACAAAGCTATCGGAAGGCTCGGGTGAGGTCCTGAGTGTTTTGATTTTAATGGACATAATGGGAACACGCAGAAACTTGAGGATTTTAACAGACACCAACAGAATTTACCAATGACAGGGGATGCAGACAGAGGAAATCAAGAGGGAGAGATGATTTATCCCGTTCTAGTGAGGAGTTTGAAGCACCAGCAGAATGGAGAGGTATAAAATTGACCAGACAGTTGTCCTCACTTCAGCAGCCCCTCCCCAGGGATCCTAGGTTAGCCTGACTTACCCTCTTCAGACAAACCAGGTCTTTCCCTGCCTCTGTTGTTTTACATACAAGGTTTACACTGAATTCCTGAATGCTTTCCCCACCGCACTGATTCCTGTATCTGAGTTAGTACTTCCCATGTGTTCTAATTTTTCTGTTTATTCGCCTATCTTCCCCAGTGGGCCGTGAGTTCCCCATGAGATGAGTCTTCCTCAGCCTATGCTTAGCAATTAATGTTTGCTGAATGAATCACTGACTTAATGTCTCCATTCCCTGCCCCTCTCTTAACTGTGAGGGACTCAAAAAGTACTTATTAATTCAGTATTTTTCAATGAGTAGATATGCAGATAGACATGCAGATAGACTCCCTGTGCCTAAAGAGCAGGAGCTACTTCAAGAAATGAAACCTGTGCACAAATACATGACAGATAGTGGGGAGGGCCATAAAAGGCATACAAATAATATGCTATTGGGGTCTAAAGCAGAATAATCACTTTTATTTAGAGCAGCATTCTTAAGCTAGGGGTGGAATCATGGTGGGATTGGGGGAAAGAGTCTTTGTGCTCTCTAGAATTGTAATTGCTGAACTGTGTGGTTAAATTCACATATGTATTTTTCTGGGAGGTGGGTGTACAGGTCTAAATTCTTGAAGGAATACCAACCTCCACAGTGGTTCTGAGCCCTGTAAAGGTTCTCTCGGGTGGGTTGCATTGGTGGGCGTGGAGACTGGAGTGTTTGTTTACAACATGTCCACCTTCTGCAGGTATTTCCTTCGAGCCACCATTAGCCGCCGCCTCAACGACGTCGTCAAAGAAATGGACATTGTGGTCCATACACTCAGCACGTACCCAGAGCTGAATTCCTCCATTAAGATGGAGGTGGGCATTGAGGACTGTTTGCACATTGAATTTGAGTACAATAAATCCAAGTAAGTCTCTGGGGCCCAAGGTGGTGGAAGAACTCTTTAGGGAGTTTAAGATAGGACTTGATCAGAACAAACTGCTGGAGCCCCTTGCCTTGCTGGTTTATGGTGATCTACTGTGAGGAAATCACAGAAAAAATACAGTGAATATATGTGCCACCTGGCTATAGGTAGACTGACCAGGAAATAAACATTTTACTGAAATTGTAAGTTTAAGTTAAACATCCTAAGATGCCTTTTAAAGTCAAGCTAAACTAATTTTAAGGTTATTTGATTTGGATTCTAGATACAGCTGTTTCCTTCTCATGAGAATGAACTCATGATAACCATTCATTATCATCTGTATCCTGTGTACAATATGTCTGTAGAAATCACAGTGCAGACACTAAACACCAGGCATAGTCTCCCTTAACTAAAATGAATTGTAGCGAAGAATACCTAATGTCTTTTTATAGAAGTCTTGAAATTATTTTAACCTGCAAGATAGGAAGTCATGCGTATTTTAAATGGTGTTTACTTTTAGGATATCAAAATACTTAACTGCTTGTAAATCACAAAACTTACTGATAGTCAGAAATACACCATACACACCTTGCTTTTCAACATGATAACGTTTCTGAAAATGTTTCAGTATCAAATAAGCAAAAGCAAAAAAGGTAGTCTATTCATAGAGACCTAAAGTAAATGGCATTATCTCTACCAGTCGTTTCTCTTTGTGGGGAGACCTTACCTCAGACCTGAGCTAGGGCTAGGCCAGATGTCTGTCCTGAGAAGGAGCAGAAGCAGGGGTTTTTATTATTTTTTTTTTTTAAGATTTATTTATTTATGCATACAAAAACTAGGGTACAGGCCAGAGGTACAGGGGTGAGAGGACTCACCAGAGGCAGAGTGGGGAGCAGAACAGGTGGAGCTACTGAAATACACTGCTGAGGGGAGCAGTGGTGAGACAGGAGAGGTCTGCCTTTGCCATGTAGGTTAGCTCCCTGGCCAGCCAGGGATCAAACTTGTGCTGCAGTGGCTGCAGATAGCTTCATAATGCTGCGACTTAACCCCTTGTGCCACCAGGGAGACCTAGAAGCAGGGTTTTTTAAACTAAGAACATAAATGCTTCCTATAACAGAGGTGAGGGAAATGTGTATTTTTTCCCCACCTCCTCCCTGGAACCAAGTGTTGGGGTAGGAAGGTAGACACTGCTTGACCTGGGGCCCTCCTATGGAGTGGCCGGGGATGAGATGGGAGAGTGATTGATCTGGGCCTGATATGTACAAGAACCATTTCATGACTCAGTGGGCCTTCCTGGGAAGGAGCCACCAAAAGGGCCTCTCCACCATTAACCTAGGTTCCTCAAAAAGGGTTTGCTTGGGAGGATGTGCCAGGAGCTCACATCATATTGCTTTTCAATATGACACATGTAGGAGCTCAAAATGGCCATCAGTCAGTGGTGTGTTCAAGACCAAAGGTAGTATGTGAAAGGCCTTTTCAAGAGTTGGTTACCTGAGGTCAGGGACTGGGTACTTGCAGATGTTGGCCCCGACAGAGATTAGGCTGTACTGTGTGAGATGCGCCACCTCTGTGATGTAACCAAAAGAGTCAGCTTCTGTTTGGCCACCAAGGAATGGGGCTAAAGTTAGCTGGGACTAGAGTTTTTGTATCTTAGCTTTCACATCTGCAAAATGGTGGGGCTTGGGTGATGTAAAGGAGGAAGGGGGAAGTAAAGGAGGAACCAGGCAAAGGCTCCTGGCCCCTCCCCAAGAGCAGCTCTTCTGGGTTTCTGACATGCCACACTTCTGTATAAGATTTCACTTAGCATAAAAGATTGTTCAGTTTATACAGCTTTGAGAACTAGAATGTATGGTGTCCAAGCATCCTTTCTAAAATGCTTGAATGGCCTACATTCCACTTCTCTAAGCGCTCTTACATTATCTACTTAGCATGTCTGCAGTCTTCCCAGTTAGATTATAAGCAGAAAGGTAGCATGAAATCATTGGGGGAACATTAGGAGTTAGGAGCCTGGAGTCATTTCTGTCTGTTCCCTACTCAGATCCTGACTAAATTATCTTCTCTGAACACCCTTCACCTATAATGAATGAGGTTAAATTCTAAGGTCCCTGCCAACACTCATGTACTGTTGCGACAGGAACTTTGTTGCCGCTTTGAGGGGGAACACAATGAGGGACACAATGGTCATGGAGCAGGTTTGCAAGGCAAGACTCTGCTACTAGAGCAGAAGTTCTTGTGCCGTTTTTTGAAATCATAGAGGATAGTAAAAGGTAATCATGTGACAATGATATGAGGAATAGGGTCCAGAGGGTAGGATAGGATAGGAATGGAGGACAAAGTGTTACAAGGGACAGGGAAGGGGACATTGTGACCATGTGTCAAGAGACATTTGCGTCAGCAAAGTATGATGTTATGACAGGCAGAGTTATCCCAAGACCGCCATGGGGATAGTCACATAATTAGGTCAGTGGTGGCCTAGGCGTCCCCAGGCCTGCCTCGTGATACGAGCTATACTCTGTAGGTAGTCAAGGAATGTTCTGCTGTGATTTGTAGATATCAAATAGGTCACACTTGACCATGAGTGGCCAGCTCATAAGAACCCACAATATACCATGATTTTGAGCTTCATGTTTGAAGAATTACTGTCTGCCTGCTGTGCCTGATACAAGGCTATGTACATACAGACCAAATGACCTGGAGTATGAAGCTGGGAGGGGAGATGGTGTCCAGAAAATATTATGCAACAAAGCTCAGAGCAACAGTCCTGGGAACAGAGTACAGAGAAAAGGTCTGATGGACAGCAGTTCGTGCATCTTGCTCTCCTGGTCCAGCATGGCCTGAGGGGTCCACAGTACACAAAACTGTTTGCTATGGGCCATCGAGGCCCAGTTCCCAACAGACAGTTTGTCAAGCTCAGGGAGGAAGAGGAAGACCTGGTTCCTGATTTATAGGACCGTTCTCTGTCACATTCAAATATCTAAAGCATACATATACACAAATACAGAAGAAAGTTAGAGTACTGTGGAAATAGGGCAGATGAGCAATTATGAACAGAGGATGAAACAATTAGGACACATCCTTTTAAGTTACATATAGGCAAATGGAAGGGACAGAGGTTACTTTGAGTCAAGAAGAGAACATATTGGGAGATCTTTCTGCAAAGGCAGTGGTGGGGGAAGATGACTCAGGGTGTGCCGGGACACCATCCGTAGCCAACATGTAACCTGGGTGTGTAAAGGTCCAGCTGCTGCACATACATCTTATTTTCTCTTCCCCAGATACCATTTGAAGGATGTTATTGTAGGGAAGATATATTTCCTGCTGGTGAGGATCAAAATCAAGCACATGGAGATTGACATCATCAAGCGGGAAACAACGGGTACAGGCCCCAACGTGTACCATGAGAATGACACCATAGCCAAGTATGAGATCATGGATGGTGCACCAGTGAGAGGTGAGCGTGCTGGCCTCTGAGGCCCAGTGCCAGCTCCCCTTTCTCCAGGCCCTGCACAGAATTTTGGAGGGTTGAGGGATTGCACTGTTATTAAGTAAAATTTCCTACTCACCTATGATTTTTTAATCTCTAACTGTACACCATGAGTCCCAATGAAGTGCTGAGTATGGGGGCGTTTAAGCTCCTGCCCCGTCTGTGCCCAGATGAGTGCCACAGACACCTTGTTTGTATGCAGTGCTGTGCCTCAGGAGTTATGTGTGTTGAAAACAAGAAAAGTTCAAAAAAAGTACTACTTCAGCAGGCCCATTTGAATATTTTACTGCTTTTTCCTGTTAACATTCCTGTAAACATTCTTTATTGCTAGGGGGCAGGAGATTAATGCATAGAAGTAATTTTTTAATTAATTTTTTAATTTTTTACATCATTGTTCATTTTTAAACAGTATTTGCTTCCCCCCCACCCCCTCAGGTGTAGTCCCCATAGAGTTTCCTTCACCAGTGCACCCATGTACCATCACCTCAGTCCCCTGTGCTCCTCCCTCCCTCCCTCTGATCCCTCTCCCTCCTCCCCTGCAGGATGTCTCTGATTAATAATTGTCTGTTTTTGCTTTGTTGTATTTTGTATTGTTACTATTTTTTCACTCTGATGCCTTACTGGGTTCCCCTATATTCCTGCTATAAGTGAAACCATGTGATATTTTTCTTTTTCCTTCGGGCTTATTTCACTGAGCATAATTCCTCCTAGCTCCATCCACATTCCTGGGAATGGCATGAGTCATTTTGTTACTTAGTTCCAGCTCTGATGTAATGAGTCATTGTCTGAGTTCACTCACCAAGGACAGATACCATCGCCAGCAGTCGCAGGTGCTACAGACGGCACCGAGAACTGATGGAAATGGTCCCCCTCCTTCTCCACGGAGCTTCCATCACATCAGGGGTGAATGAAATTGAAAACTTTGTGATTTGGGGAATCTACAACTTTGGGAGTTACCAAAACTTAGGTTCTTTGTTGGCTCTGCTGCAACTGATGACTAGAAAGTATGTTTTAATTTAGAGACCTAGGTGATGCCTGGGTCTCATTCAGTTTATTTCCAGTTTGGTTCATGTAGACGGAGGAGTATCATACACTTCATAGCTTGGCAGGGAACACAGCAACAATGACAGGACATCCTTGCGTGTCACAGGGCCACGTCCTTGAGGAGTAAGACTTCGCTCTTCTGACTCTGTTCCATATTTTTTACCTGCTGTGCAAGTACAGCCAGTTGTCACTTTCCCTGCACAAATGAAATGGGGCACTGAGAAACAATATAAACAGCAGATAATTAAAAGATCATTTATATTTATCTTTAGACTTCATTATAAGTTTGGCCTTTCTCAGTAGAATTACTGCCCTCATTTTGTTCCAGTTGTACTGGAAAAGGCACAGTGTTAGAGCTGGAAGGGATCTAAACTATTATGTTGTCTGATTCTGCAATTTTTCATGTGAGAAAAATAAAAGTCCAGAGAAAGCAACAGATTTACAAGTGATAAGCTGGTCAGGGGAGAATGGGGAAAAAAGAGTCTTTAGTCTCCACATCAGCCTGCCAATCCAGCTTCAAGTGGGGATGTATTTGGAGGAAGGGGGAGACTTCCACAAATTAGGATAGAGGGAGGTGGCATCACAGTTGCTAGGTGCCAGGATGCATTAGCTGGGTTATGACAGCTGACTCTTGAAAACCCAATAACTGGATACATTACATGTAATCAGAAGATGCTTATGAGTCCCACCCAGTGCTGTTCACACTCACTGCTTCTCACTCATCTCTGCGTTGGGATGGAGGACATTCAGATGGCCTGGAATGGAAATGCAGTCACATTTTTGCTTCTGCCTCTCATTAGGCACATAACTTCCCCAAAGCAGAGCATTTGCGTGAATGTTCCAAGCTGTGCTTGGGGTCAGAGAGAGTTGCTGTGTTTGGAGAGTGGCTTGCTGTAAGCTAGAGTGGATTGCTCTGATTCTTGTCTGGCCCTTACAGGAGAGTCCATCCCCATCCGGCTATTCCTGGCGGGCTACGAGCTCACCCCCACCATGCGGGACATCAACAAGAAGTTCTCTGTGCGCTATTACCTCAACCTGGTGCTGATAGATGAAGAAGAGCGGCGCTACTTCAAACAGCAGGTGAGCAGGGATGGGCACCATCCCTAGACCACTCGTTGTCCTGGAGACAGAGCAGGAAGGGCATCATTCCTGTGGAGAGCAGCCTGTGTTTCTCACAGGCGAAGCAGAGCGGTACAGGGCAGAGAACTTGTTAGCCTCTATGTCGCATGTTGGTTTACCAAGAAGTGGAAATGCTGGGTGGTCCAGAGGCCCATAGCCAGAAGAAAGGTTACCACTTGGTACCTGGAGGCTACTTTCTTGGGTCCAAGCCCTGCAACCACTCTGCTCTTCCAGGCTGCCTTAGCAAAAGGAGCCCCAGGGATGGGTGGGAGCTGTGAACAGCTGCTGCTGTCTTTGGTGAGATAAGCAGAGGGGGATTTTGCCCAGGATTCCCCAGAAGTGGGAGCTCTGGGAGACCCATTCCCATGTCTCCCTCTCATCATGTCGTGTTGCACCCCTCTCCCAATTCTGCAGGAAGTGGTATTGTGGCGGAAGGGTGACATCGTACGGAAGAGCATGTCCCACCAGGCAGCCATTGCCTCACAGCGCTTCGAGGGCACAACCTCCCTGGGCGAGGTGCGGACCCCCAGCCAACTGTCTGACAACAACAGCAGGCAGTAGGCCCCCGGGGCCAAGAAGCAGCTGGGTTGGTACCCAGCACCCCGTCTACCAAACACCAGCGGCTGGGGAGGGGGAGGACGGTGTGATGCTCAGCTGACCCGTCACTTGCAACCTGAAAAACAAATCATGTTTTTGACTTAAATTCTTTTCTCTGAAGACCCTAAGGGGCTTGGGTTGGGAAGCAGTCTCCCTTGGGATTCTACAGCTGATGTGGGCATAGGGAGAGGAGGGAGCATCCTGGAAACTCTCAGAAAGAGCCTTCATTTGAGGCCTTCCATGTGGGGCTGCCTCACGTCCTATAGCAGAGCAGAGAGCAAGCATCCTTGGCTCCTGGCTCTCTAAGCTTCCTGATATGGGATCTCAACATGCCCTGTGAGTCTGAGCTGCCAACAGGGCCCTGGATAGTCACATCTTATACTCCCTCTATTGTCCTGAGGTAGTGGCAGGAGTTGGGCCTGCCCCATCCTAAATAGCAGGATACTCAAGATCAGGAAGCTACCTCTTTGGAGTCTTGGATGTGGTGCTTCAGAGTCTCCACAGGCCACCTCCTGTCTGGCCTTTCTCACTGCTGGGACCCAGGCATCTACCTTCTCCATCTTCTCTGGGTACTTGTCAGTACCATCTTGAGCAGAAACCTGTAGATGGGCCTTTGGCTGACTGTCCCCTCACCTCTGAGAAACCCTGGGCGAGATACCCCAGGTTCAATGTCATGTAGAGATGGCAGCAGTGTTGACCACAGGAGGCCAAGCCAGGCTTGCTGAGGAAGAAGTGTGGTGACTACGTGCACCATGTGACTGCCCTCGTCAGCCCTGAAGTCTGGCTGGTTGTAGGGTATTGCTCTCTGTACCCCACAAGCCTAAAAAAGAGCAGCTGTTTCTTTTAAGAGATCTGGGGAAGAGGCCTTGAGCCTATTGCTTCCCTAAGAATTGACTCTCATCACTCCTAGCTCTCCATTTAATTTCTGGGAATTGGGGCTTGGTTTCAAACAGTTGGAAATTCTGTTCTGTTACCCAAGTTCCTTCACACCCTACCTACAAGATAAAAGATAAGGGAGGGTATATGAGGGCTTCAGAAGACCTTGCTACACAACTTCAGAATAATTCTGCTTGCCAAATTATGTTTTCGTCTTCACCAGTAACTGACCAGAGTTTAGGACCATGGTGTTTTGTTTTAAAACACATACAAAAACTCTTGTGCACATTCTTGTTTGGCTAGAGGAGAGGGCTGTTTCCTCTGTTGTGTGTGTTTTGGCCTATTATAGTAAAGGTGTTGACATCCTTTTCTTTGTCATCTGGAAATGACCATAAATCACTCTCCAGTAGGCCTCCTTTCCCTTCTAGAAAGACCAAGGAGACTCCACTGGTCAACAGGTACCATATTTGATAGTCTCAGTTCTTTGTGATTTGGAAAGCAGAGGAGTTGGCTCCTGTGGCATCTTTCAGTTAGCAAGGGAGATAGGGACTCCTCTTTTTCTCATAAGTCAGTACAGTCACAGACCTTCGTCTGGCCAGGGCTCATGCACCAGAGCTGAGGCTGGGAAGACATTTGAAGGTGACAGGGGTTGACGGTCATAGAGGGTAGACAGCAAAACCAAGTAGGGAGAGGTTTTCCCCCTGCTCTCCACCCTGAGTTCAGGTGCAACAGACAATCCCCATGGGAATAGGATCACCTATCCAGCTGCCCCTGAAGTTGGGGTTGAATTATACAGGGGAGGCGGGTTCTGTGTTCATAGCTTTTTTCAGAGCATGAGATTAGGAGCTGGTATGCTAACTAGAAAGCATCTGTGAATTCCTCTGCCTTCCAGCTGACAACACAGATTCATTTCCCAACTTTCCTAATATCTTAAATCTTCTGGGAGAACTAGAAGATAGAATTTGCTTTGATTCTCTCAGAAGCTGTGCACAAGCCAGGTCTTCTGTTTTCTCTTACTCTGTCCCCATGTCTCCATACAGCTATGGAAGTGGGGAGGCTCCTGTGTCCCTCCATACAGGTCCCACACCTGGGAGTGCATAGGTACTAAACCAAGCAGTGCAACTTGTAATTAAGCAGCTGCAGTGTTTACATGTTTCTTAATGTGTCGTCTTTTCAATGGCTGTATTTTAAAAAAAAAAAAAAGAACACTTGTTCAGTTGTCTCTCTGATTAAAGGAAGCCCCCATGGCTTGGAGGCATTGTGCCCGTGGCCTACCAATTTCTGTGGTCTCTTCTGTCTTACACTATTCCACCTCACACACCAGGGAGAGTCCCTCACCCCGATCCCGTAGAGCGCCTGTGCCCTCCTTGTTCATGGCCCTAGTGAAGAGTGGTGAGTGCTTTAATACCTACTATCTGGCAACTTGCCGGAGCTGCTGATGGTTTAAAACCCAGCCTGACTCACACTGCTTCCGGGAAGCAGATGAGGGAAACTGATATAGAAAGACTCAAGTTCCTTTCAGGGATATTAACAGATTGAGCCCTCCATCTACCCTGAGGTTTGCCACAGTAATGGAAGATAGTAGAGGAAGCCCCCAATCTTTCTAAAGGGCAAAAGGAGCCAGCCCTGAGGTAAAAGATCTGCAGCGGAGTATCCTCTACATCCACAGCTATTACAAAGAAAAGCTTTCCACCTTTCATATTAATGTTTTATTGAAAAGAGTACACAAAAACCACCTATGTACACAGCCAGTGAACAGAACCAGCAATCCTCCTTGCACCTTCTTTTGTCTTGTAAAAGCTTGACTTCTTTGGAATAATGTTTTGATCATTCTAGGTATAGCGTCTCAACTAACTTGGTTCCTTTTCCTCCAGACTCAAAATAAAGTCAAACTCTTCTGTCAAAAAGGGGGAAAGAATGAATTAGGTCTTTGTTTCAACTGAAAAGGAATTACCTGACGCTCTTCAATTACCAAGGCGGGCATTCACAAACTACGTGTGAGTGTTCTATGTGCCAATCACGTCTGGGTACTGGGTACATAAGATTGGGTAACTCAGGATATATTTCCTCCCTAGTGGACATTACAGGCGAGGGGACAGACTTGGGTTAAAAACCATACCCAGGTCTACTCAACTAGAAAACGTGAACTCATGGTATCATCCTGGAATGTTGATACTGGCCCATTCTTACCTTGGGTCAGGGGCTGAACTGAGAGTCTCTGGCGAGTGAAGAGAGCCATATTTTTTAAGGGGCCACCAGTGGCTTTATGAGCTTGGTGGTGGGTTTTGAGCTCAGCCAGGGGAATGAAACGCTTCATCATCCGAACAAACTGAACATCCACCTACATGACAAAAGGGGACAGGACAGAAAGACACTTGGAGGCAGACTGACCACTGTGGGTCCAGCTGTTTGGAGGTGACATTGAGCAGAGCTGCTCCAAGGTCAGAGTAACCTCATCTGAGCAAGAGCTGGGCTCTGCACCTTGACCTAAAAACACCCCAGACTATTTTCCTCCCTCCCTTTGTCCATCCTTCCCCCTCTGTAAAATAGGAAAAACAGTTTTTACCATGGACCATTTGGGGTTGTCTTCTTTGCTGGATGGATCGTAATGGGGATTATTTTTCTCAAATTGTGTGTGGTCTGGGTAAGCCTCCTTCACAATCTGAAACCAAAACCAAGTTTCCAATTGCTTGCCTATGTAGTCAGTGCCACGGCCAGTTTTTAATCCAGGTTCAACTTTTAGTTCTGACCCCATCTGCCTGGCTGTAATGCCAATGAGGGCTCAGATAGCTGCAAATAATACACAGTCTAAGGCAAGCATAGGTGATCGATTCTGTTTTGACAAAAACATTAAAAGCATGTTCTAAAACCAAGTATTAATGGGTATTATTGGTGGCACTGTTTTTACCACCTGCATAGTTAAAGTTAATAAAATGTTATCCTTTTAATTCCTGACTTGGAGGGGGTACCATGAGGTCAGTTTTTGCACGAAAGACCAGAGGCATGGAAATGGAGAGGGTAGGACCTGAAATGCAGGTCTGCCCTGTAAAGAGTCTTTGTGGCACAGAAAGGGGCCAGGGTAGATTTTCTGCATTCCCATGTCAGGACTAGGGAGGAGGATCCTTCTGTATTATTACCTATTTAAATTGGGTGCCTTTACATGATTAAGTGTACATGATTAAGTCTTCCAGAAGAAAAGATGATTTCATACCAAAGCCTATACAACTCACCTTCATAAGTCCTGCGATACCTGGCTCTTTGCAGTTGCTATGGTAGAAGAAGGCTTTCTCTTCCAGCCTCATGGCTCTAAGGAAGTTCCGGGCCTGTCACAGGGAGAAGACACAAGACCTTTCCTACGGACTGGAAAATGCTACTTTTTGGCAGAAATCAAGTCTGCTTTTATCAGGGTTTTCCTTGTTGCAACATCCCAATTCAATTTAATGCTTTTGCTAAAATACCCATACTTGTACCAGAATAAGCAACCTTGGCTAAGAGGTTTTGCTACTAAGTCAAAAGGTAGAAAGGATTTATCCTACCCTGGTGCCCTGCTCTCACCTGGTAGTTGCGGACACCATCCCAGCATGCCATCTGTTTGGGCTGTGCTTTGAGATCCTCGATGCTGAACTAGGCAAGAGGAAATAAAGTCATTAGGCAACCCTGGGCCAACTGGTAAGAATATTTAAAGCAGACGGTTCCTTATGTTATACATAGGATGCTACCAGCTACTGTGGAAGTATGTAGTTTACTGGGAAGTGCCTCCGCAGAGCCACTTGGGTGAAAATAAGCCTGTCTTAGCTAGTAAAAGGATTAGTTCAATGGATAATCCAGACGACAAGTAATCTGCTGGCTATCTGCATCTCATTTATTAAAATACATGTTTTATAATATTTCTAATAAAATTTTCTCCAGATTATTCGCTGGATATATGCCACTTGTTGACATGGAGCTATTTAGGAGTGTGGCAAGAGAAAGGCAACCTAAGACTGAAATGTTGCCTACATCACAGGATGCAAACTACAGCTTTCAGGCCAAATAAATCTAGGCCTCTGCCTGATTTTATAAATCAAGTTTTATTAGAACACCATTTGTTTACATATTACCATAGCCACTTTCTTGGTTACAATAGAGTAGCAACAGCAACTGTAACCCCCAGAACTTAAAAAAGATTTACTATGTAGCCCTTTATAGAAAAGGTTTATTGACCTCTGCCCTAGATAGAGGATTCACAAAACAATTGATACTAGTAAACCCTGATTTTATTCATAATTACCTTTCCTTTCTCCTATCCCTCAAAAATAAGCAGGTGATAGAACCCTGCGACATCCCAAATTATTTTAAAAAACAGCTGGAGACAGGAATGTGACCTCACCTTCACATCTACACCTTTCTCTAGTCGGCTTTCTGGCTCTGACTTCATCAGCCAGTAGCTACTTAGACTCTTCTCACAATTTTTAGAGGCTGCAATCTTCTGAGGGCTGGAGTTCTCCACTTTAGCTGATGTCTCATCTGTGTTCTTAGCTTTGGTACGTTTTCCTGCTGGTCCCTTGTCTGCAACAGGAAAAGCAAGAAGAGACTTCTCGATTGCTACAAGTAATTTCCAGTGTGGGGAAAACATGCTTTCAAATGCTGGATCCCTTGGTTACCAGAATAGTAGCTTAACTGCTTAACTTGTTACCTATGAAAATGGGACAAAAATGCCTATTGAATGCTTCTGGATCACGCAGTCAATGACATAAGAATGGTTTACAGGAATGTGGTTTAGGGTTAAAGGTCCTGGCAGAGTACCTGCCATATGTTAAGTACAGATGTCAGTGTTTTCTTTGCCTCATTCTTGTGTACCTTTGCTGAGGCTATTCTCTCCAATGAAGAAATCAAGCACCATTCCACAGACTTGTTTTGAAGTTTAGATAAGATATAAACAAAACCTTCAGTGCCTGTTCTTATACTAAATGTTTATAAACATTGCTCAATGTACTTTGTAGCCTGCCTCCTTCCTGCTCTTTGAAAGTTGGAAAAAAATAGTTCATTTACTTGTAGAATAGTAAAGACTGGATTTTATCCTAAGAGAAAATATCCCTCAGACATAGACAATCAACAGCTAAGTTATTAAATTATAACTATATGCAACCCTACGCTCTTTATCCAACCCCTCACTCAGTTATCTATGAGATATTCTGTTTATCTGGAAAATGTGATCCAGATGACATTCAGTAAACAGAATCAGGACTTGTCACTCTGTTCTGATTCTGAGAGGGGGAACTATATATTCTTGACCTTACTACACGCCGTCCTGTTTCACTTTTTTTTTTCCCCTTACCAAATAGTTTAAATGAGCAAACAGAAGGGATTCTGGCATAAGTTTGATGGCAGTAATAATGGAGAAGTTGGAACGCAACTAGGGACAATGTAAAGGATTCTCACAAGTAAGGAAGAGAAAGTCAACAATATTAAACAGACCGCAGAGAAACGTTCTCGACGGAATTGCCTTCTTGCAGTCTAGGTACAACTCACCTGACCCAGCAGCCCCAGCCAATCTCTTCCGCGGTCTCGGCATGATCTCCCTGCAGGGGCTGAAGAGCGGAAGATTCTGGAAATCAACAGAGGGATACAAGAGGCAACGCGGTCTGTGACCCCAGAGCAAGATCTAGACAATGAGAGGAGCTTAGACTCCCTCCGTCACGAGGGTCTTTTTGCGAAGACAACTGTAGCTTAGCATCTCAAACATTCTCCCAGTTTTCTACCCCTCCCCTTTCCAACTCGCATAACCTGTTCCTAAAACTCTCCTTCGTTCTTTTCCTTCCCCTCCGTTCATTCATGCACCAGACTCTCACTGCACCCGGGGCCCTTAGCCCCTTCGCCACTGCTCAGACCAGACTCCTACCCACCTACCAAAGCGCCAGGGGTCGTGCAGTGCCCCCGCTGGCGTGTTGATGACGTCTCACTTTCGCCGAGGTCCCGGGGATCTCTGGGAGTTGTAGTCTTCCTTCTTTGCAAGGCTCGCCTGAACCCGACAGCGAAGGTAGTTGGGTACACTACAGCTCCCAGGGTGCAGTGCGGGACGGGCTGGGAGGTCGAGCTAGTAGTTTGAGCGCCGCCGAGGTCAAGGGCTCTCAGACCCTAAGGAAGCTGGAGCGAGTATGCTGCGGAGCGGTTACCTGCTTTTGGGAGCGCAGCTCGGCCGCTTACGCGGTGGTCTCCGGGTTCCAGCCGAGAAAGGCCGCCGAAGCTTGACCTCCTGCATCGATCGTAAGGCTCGCCCCTAGGGTGCACGTGCCCGGGACACGCCAGCGGGTCACGGTCTCTGCGCCCAGGGAGTGCACCGTCCCTCTTCGGTGGTTGACACCAATGTCACCCCAGTCCGGCTTCCCCACTCCAGGCTGTCACCCCGGCCATCACCTCACTCTGGCCCTACCTCCCTCCCGACATAGCTACCCTCGCGAGACTGTTATCCCTGGTCGGTTACCCCCAATCTGTCTACACAGCTGACTTCCCCTGTTTGCTGTCTCTTGGGCCTCGTCTGCTGCTCCTTCACTCCCACACCGTGCCTCAGCCAGGGAAACTTGTGCTCGAGGTCTTCTTCTGGTTCTTAAGTTCTGTTCTTCCTCCTGCCACCTAGATGAGGAAATTTACTCAATGTCTAGTGCGGCCCCTCATTTTTCCGTGGGGAAACTGAAACAGGTACCCATAAAGAGGTAACTGACTTATGAAAGTTGTACCAGTGATAATCTAAGAACCAGAGTTTGCACTCCGGATTCCTTGTTTATTGTCAAATAGAACTGCTGATTCTCTAGTAAAGTTTCTACTTTGGATACATTTAAAGATTCGTATATTATTTAGAGGCTTTGGATTTTTTGCCTTTTACACTTCAGTTGCTAAATAGTTTTTCCTCAACTCATTTGGGCCATTTTTCTATTTTGCTTTACCATGTTAGCGTATGTGTGGTTTAACTCCGGCAAACTTAATGAGGCTTGACTTTTGTTTTATTTTCTTTTGTTATTACAGTTTATGTGTTTTGGTAGCTTCGAGGGTTTTTTCAGTGGCCATGGTTTCTTGTGTATGATTTAATTTTTAACTTGCCTTTTCCACATTATTATCTCCAAACAATGCCTTCTTGTTAGCATTCTCTTTTCTAAAATGGACTTTCTACCTTTAAAAAATGTGTAATTGAAATGTATTTGCTTACCCATATAATTTGCACACAACTATTCCCTATTATTTTCTTAGGATGCAATTAAAATCTTTTTCTTAAACCTTTTGTTCTTTGCACTGCTTGTTTTAAGAAATAGCCATGTACTTTGTCAAATAATAATAACTGTAAACATTTATTGAGCTTTTGCTAGGTCTGAAATTCTGTAGCACTTCGCTAAGACAGTAAGATGTTTACATTATTACCCCTTATGTCATCCTTTCTGTGTATGGACTATTCATCTTTGTAACCCCAGCACTGCTCCATAGTAGATATTCAATAAATATTCTTTTGTGTATGATCTTTGAGTTATGATCTACAGGAGCAAAATTGTGCAAATAAGTGACCTGACTCCTGTTCCTGGGTACCATGAATTATTAATCCCTATTCTTGAGAGTAAGAACCAATCTGGGTTTTTGGCTTCTCAGGATAGCCTAGTTAGTCCTCCCAGGTATTCATTGCTGAGTTACCTGTTTTAATGAGAGTCCTGATACAGACAGTGCTTTGTCTTGGTTCATACACCTGGTGAGTTATGTTTTGTTTTTATTAAAGATTGATTTATTTATGCATACAAGAACTGGGGTACAGACCAGAGGTGGCGGGGGTGAGAGGATTCACCAGAGACAGAGCAGGGAACAAAACAGGCAGGCTGACTGAAATAACACTGCTGAGGGGAGCAACCGGTGAGACAGGCTAGGTCTGTTGCACCATGTGGGTTGCTCCCAGGCCAGCCGAGGATTGAACTTGTGCTGCAGATGCTGTATATAGCTTCATAGTGCTGTGCTTAACCCCTTGTGCCACAAGGGAGGCCCCACCTGGTGAGTTTTGATGCCCAGGTCTGTCCCAGAGAAGCAGACTCTGCCACCCTGTCCTTGTTCTCTAGTGGAAGGAATGTGCATCACTCTTCAGGCACTGAGATAAGTTGTTGTCCAGAGTGGTTCCATAGTCTTCCTTTAGTGTTCGTTAGCTTCACCCCATAATGACCAGGTTTTTAGCACTGAAGGATGAAGCCTTAGGAGGTAATATAGAACCCTGCATTTCCTTTATTCTCTTAACATTTTTATAGCTAACTATGAACCTCAATCTTCACCACCACCAAGTATAGGCATTGTGTTTTTTTCTTTGTGCACCTGAGGCAGGTGGTCCTTTCAAAATGGCAGTACAAAGACACAACAAAAGAGAAATAAGTGCAAAAAATATAAATCTGGGCCTCCCTGGTGGTGCAGGCAGTTGAGTACCACACTGTGAAGATGTCTGCAGCCTCTGCAATGCGGGTTCGATCCTGGCTGGCCAGCGAGGGTGCCACATGAGAATCCCACATGGTGGGGCAGACCTCTCTTGTCTTGTCCGCTGCTCCCCTCAGCAGTGTATTTCATCAGTCTGCCTGTTCTGTTCCCCGCTCTGTCTCTGGTGAATCCCCTCACCCTCTGGCGCATCTGGCCTGTACCCCAGTTCTTGTACAAAAATAAATAAATCTTAAAAAAAAAAAAAACAAAAAAAGCCATGTGAAAAAAAATATAAATCTGATTTACACTTTACACATTGCAGAACCTGTGGTTGGGTGCTAGTTCCCAAGATTTATGGTTTTATTCTTTTTTTTTTTTAAAGTCTGGGGTACAGGCCAGATGCGCGGGAGGGTGAGAGGATTCACCAGAGACAGAGTGGGGAACAGAACAGGCAGACTGACGAAATACACTGCTGAGGGGAGCAGCAGGCAAAACAGGAGAGGTCTGCCGCGCATGTGGGACCCTCACTGGCTGGCCGGGATCGGGATCGAACCAGCAGCAGAGGCTGCCGACAGCCTCACAGGTGGCGCTTAATCACCTGCGCCACCAAGGGAGGCCATATAGTCTTATTCTTGTCTAAATTCTTTATCCTCAGGAGGTGGTTTTTCACAGGAGTCCTGCCTAGGTTTTTTACCTCTCGCTTGAAATCTGTTGTTATTTTGCAAAACATGAACCATATTTTATTTTATTTATTTATTTTTAAAGATTTATTTATTTATACAAGCACTGGGTACAGTTAGAAGCTCAGGAGAGTGAGAGAATTCACCAGAGCCAGAGTGGGGAGCAGAACAGGCAGATTGACGAAGTACACTGCTGAGGGGAGCAGCAGGCAGCAGGAGAGGTCTGCGCGCCATGCGGGACCCTCACTGGATGCCAGGGATCGAATTGGCGCTGTAGAGGCTGCGGGCAGCTTCGCAGCCCAGCGCTCGACCGCTGTGCCACTGGGGAGGCCCGTGATGAACCATAATTTAGACCTCAGTTAATTACATATTTGACTTACAGCTCTGCTTTCCAATATATTCTTGTTTCTATGTAATTTTTGAAAAAATATATTAAAAACAAAAAGTGTTCATGCCATTAAGATAACTGGCTATTTAAAGAAAATTTGTAAAGTGACGATACAGTTTCTCCCACCATCCAAACAAAGGTAAGAGTGTTCCTATAAAACCTGTCATAAGCTGAAAAGAAGCAATTACCACTAATTTATATGAATTTTTTTTTAGCACTTCCAGACCCAAAAGACAATCTCCCTAATACTAATTAACACAAAACCCCTAAAATCACACTAACATATAATAAAGCAGGGATAATATGACAAATACATATCAGAGCTGGATGTGAAGCTTGGCAGGGTCTCACTGCCTCCTTGGGGTGCACACTGCCTCTGGAATAGCTGCTGCAAGACCAACGCTGATAAATAAACCAATGTCATGTTCACTTTTTGCCTTTTGTCATAAAAGTATAAATCCTACTCAGATTTCTTTTGGTTATCAAAAATAGGTACTAATACAGGCCCTTAGTAAAATCAAAGGGGCATATGGTGAACTTTCAAAAAGCAGGGGATAACTAAATTGTGAATTGAATAATCACTCTGTAGAGAGATAGTAGACATTTTTCTCCTGAGGAGAAATGTTATCAAGGAATGTCTGAACTTGCCAAGTGAATGAGCTTATTACAGGATCTTTTCCTTAATTTAGAAGGTAAGTCAAAGTACACTTAGCTCCTTTCCCAATTGATTTTTTTAAAAATGAATATGTTGGGCCTCCCCTGGTGGCGCAGGCAGTTGAGCGCCGCACTGTGAAGCTGTCCGCAGCCTCTGCAGTGCTGGTTCGATCCCGGCCAGCCAGCGAGTGTCCCACATGGTGCTGCAGACCTTTCCTGTCTTGCCTGCTGCTCCCCTCAGCAGTGTATTTCGTCAGTCTGCCTGTTCTGTTCCCCATTCTGTCACCCTACTGCGCATCTGGTCTGTACCCCAGATCTTGTATAAATAAATAAATATATTAAAAAAAATAAAAATGAATATGTTGATGGACAGCTATTAGTAGATTCACATAGATAGGGAAGGAGTTGTCCAGGATATCAATACAGAAAAGGTAGGACATCATACAGGGAAAAAAAAAAAAAACACAAAATATTTACCATCATTTGATGGTTCATGTGTGTTTATTTTTAATGTGGATTTATGAAGTAGAAGAGATAAAATGTATTGAAAGAGTAAGTACCCAGAGCATAAATGAAATTAGCCAATTCCTTTGGGAGTAAAGGAGAAAGGAAAAAGGTGGTATATCAGAAGATTCTTACTGATGGGTGTTGCCATTCTCTGGACTTTAAAGCCTGCGCTGTGAATGGGAAACCCTGCAGAGATCCTCTGTCCCAGGTGCATGGTGCCTCCTCTTTTCAGTACTCTTCCTTGCACCCTGTCCTGGAATTGAGTACACACCATTTGGACCCATAGCTTCTTTTTTTTTAAAGGTTTTTTTTTTTTTTCACATTGTTGTAACCCCCATAGTTCT